CACAGGCGGGTAAGAACCTCAGAGGAAACAGTCGCCCGATGTCGAAGAGGTCGTGTGAGGTGGACGGTATTCCCCGCAAGGACCACAGTAACGACGATAGCGATGAGTAGGGTGGCCCAGCTGACGTAGCGCCTGCGGTAGTTGGCGTGTCTCCTGCACTTGGTAGGAAAGGCGTCAAGAGGAAACTCTCCACGCCAGTAGCTGTCGGTATTGGACAGAGGGCCTCGAGTAGGACGTATGTAGCAGCTACATCCGAGACTCACATTTTGTCTTGCCTCTTGTCTCATCTCGTGTCTTATCCCGTATCTTATCTGATCTCGTGTCTCATCTCGTGTCCAACGGGTGGCGGCTAACATGTATGACTATGTCTTTCTATCGATGGCAGGTGACCGACTTCGCTGGAGGAAGCAACTTTGTTGTGTTGGCGATCCTGACTCTCATGCTAGGTGACGAGTACTACATGAGGCAGATCCTAGTCACGGCAGCGGTGTGCTTGTGGGGCACGAGGCTCGCAGGTGGGGAAAAATGCGACTATAATACTTGTAGAGGTAACGTCTGCAGAGACAGGTGTGCGTGTGTTGTAGCCATGTCGCGAGGTGTCCTCATGAGCTTACGTGCACGCCAGTAGGTACAGCGACGCTAGAGAAAAGTGGCATGGCAGCACAAGAGCATTTTTTCATGGAGAAGAATATGGCACCCTTTTTTTTCATAAAGAAGCAGGGAAGGGAATTCTGAACCCTTCTCGCGATAACATTGAAGGCAAGCAACGTAGGGGTAGGGTTGCAACGTACGAGAACAAAATGCTTTGTTTTTCCTTCCCTTCGCGTTTATCCTGCCTGGTGCGTTAAGTTCATGACGAAAGGTTTAGACTAGCGCCCAAAAATACAGGAACGAGAGCCCACAATGCATCACAGGCGTTCTGGTGACTTGGTGACGTAGCACCGGAACCAACCGCCGTTGATGCACAGCCACGCGTCAAGATTGTCAAGATTTCGACAACAGGTCATTGACAAGGCCTGCTCAACAAGAAGTACCGTGCAGGCAACAAGAAGTACCGTGCGTGCAGCTCGTTGTTAGTTTCGGCTCGCACAAATTCGAATAGTTGATTCTATCACCATGTGTAAAATATGAACGTCGCCCAGGATTGTACCGCAGCAGTGCACACAAGGTGCGAAGAGGGGCAGCCCTTCACCTAACTACATGCATGGCGCTTAACATCCGCCTTCAAGTGAAGAGGGTGCAAAGTGCCCCTGACTCACACACGAATGGACATCTGCACATGCGCTACTGCTGCTGCTTCAACCCTCCCGCCCCCCCCCGCCCCCCCAATTGGCGCCCAGAGTCCCAACGTACATGCTTTCGGCTGCTGTTGCAGCTCCTGCAGCTCCTGTAACCGTCGCGGCTTTTTTTTTTTTTTTTGTCAGGGTGGTTGTTGTACCGTGTGATCAAGATGGGCAAGGACGACCGTTTCGACGACACGAGAGAAAACTTCTTCAAGTTCCTCGCCTTCTGGGTGTTCCAGGTATATTAGTGTATACTGTAGTGTCACTTGTAAGCCCAGGGTGTCCTTTCTGTCTGCTAGAACGACACGTGACTCTAAGAAACGTAACACAAGATGTCCACCAAATTTTGTTGTCTTCTGGGCCTGTTTTTCATTGTACCTGCAGGGGAAATGTTCCTATAACTATGACTCCAGAGCACTATGTTTTCTTGCTTCACGGCTTCTTCGGTCCCTCTGCTGCTCGTCAACGCCTTGATCACTACACTATACTTAAATAGTACGTGTTTTTGCAATCCCCCTCCTGATTGGCATGACGTTGCGGGGCAGATGATCTGGGTGTGGTCCGTTAGCCTCCCAGTGACCCTGCTCAACTCCACAGTGGTCAACCCCGATCGTTCAGCGAGGGATATCGCCGGAGCCGTGATGTTCGTGATTGGGTTCATCTTCGAGTTCGGCAGCGACGTCCAGAAGGATATCTTCAAGGTGTGTGGTGTGTGTCATATACATGTTCATGTATGCCTGTATGCTGGTTACTTGTTTTGTGACTTCCAACGCGTTCCGGCCCCTCCGTCGCCGCCTGGTGCATCGGGGTGTCGTGTGTTCAGAGAAAGTGTGCGCTTGCTTGTGAGTAATTTGGACACCGTGTGTGGTGTGTCTATTCTAGCGGTGCGCCGAGTCGAAGCTACTGGAAGGGAGAGCTAGACTGAGCTTCTTGACCCCTAGGTCTGTGTTGCCGTTCAAATATCACTATGTTTGATGGTTTCGGGTTGGATGTTTTGGTGGACTCCTGTGGTTGCCATCTCCATAATTTGTTTCGTTCATGGCACACAACCGATGGGTGCTCATCTGTTGGTCTTGCCGGCATCAAGCGTCAAGACTGCAGCCAATCCTCGCTCTATCTCGCAGTAATCCTCCGGGCATTAATATTTTCCCCTTCCTTGTATTGTGCCGTTTCGTTTTGGTTTGCGTTCTCGTCGCTTCGATAATTCGTGCGTGTGAGTCGGTCCCATTTTTTTCTGGAGCCAGTCTACACACCTCGCATTGTATAAGTATGTTTGATGTTTGATGCATCACCCGGGGGCACACAGGAGGTGGCACGTTTTTGTTTTTTCGCCCGACCTTCCCTCCTGCGATTGCAGGTGCCTTTTTTTTTTTTTTTTTCATGTGTGTGACGAATATTCGGTTCGGCGGCGCCGGCTCCGCGCGCTTCTTCCATCGTATCTTGCCTGTCGTGCTGTACATTGTACTGTACATTGTACTGCATCCCGCAGTCCAAAGGGGGGAGAGGCGTGTGCGAGACAGGCCTGTGGAAATACTCTCGCCACCCCAATTACTTCGGGGACCTGATGCAGTGGTGGGGGATATTCACCGTGTGTTCAACGATTTTCGGGCCCGCGGCGGACGCTGGGGAGGCGGACTGGGGGTACGCTACCATCTGCGGCCCCCTGTTCCTGACGGTAAGCTGCCGGGAAAGCCATCGTGTATCGTGTCGCTTTGTTTGGCATTGGCGGCTCGATTCATGGTGTACCGTCTCGATCCATTGTGTACCGTCTCGACTCACGGTGGTACGAGTGCAAGCTTGCAGGTGTCACGAATAAATAGGGTAGCTCGTCCGCGTCAGAAAGCAATGCGCTCGAGAAGAGGATTTGCGCGCACACAAAGGGTCGATATCTACACTATGCCTGCGCCAACCTCCGAGCTGCCGTATGGGGTGGAAAACACGTGCCCTGCTTGGTGTCTGACTCAGCATTGAGGACGACAGCAGTACTTACTTTTTCGGGCGGGTTGTTCCGTATAATCGTTGTATGATATGGTGCTGTTTGCGGTTTTCCGGGTTGTTCCGTAAAATTGTTGTATGATATCCTTCTTACGGTTTTTAGCTTTGCGACACCACTGCTATAGCTCCAGTAGTTGTGAGCCAATCACTGTACCAGATAGGCAGTATTGCCCTCTAGAGTTTCCCCGGTGGTCCTCCCTCGCAGCACTCCAGCACTCACACGATGACGTGGTGGGTGTGATTGACTGCTCGACGTAACTCGGTCGGCCTGTCGATTGTGTTAAATAGTGCTATCTGATGCGAAACGCACTCTACTCCTACAACACTTTCCAATTACTCGAGTGAAGTACACCTTGGGCCTCCTCCCTCTGTTGGTAGGTGCCATCCTGAAACCCTTGCATATGTTGTTTCCGACCCAAATCGTCTGCTGCTGCCGTCTGTTTTTTTTTTTTTTATGCTCTTGGTCGTGAAAACAGGCCATTTTGCTCTTCGCCAGCGGGATCCCGACTGTTGAGTCGAGCTGGATAAAGAAGTACGGCGGGACCGAGTCATTCTGGGGTTACAGGGAGAGGACGTCCATCCTCTTCCCCATGCCTCCCGGTAAGGGGTCTGGAACACTGGATAGTTGGAACGCCCTCTGCATAGAACAAAAATGTTATCTGGTACAATACTGGTATGAACTATCTGGAAACTTTCCACCTGACGTATGCAGGCAGATTATTCTCCCAAGTGTATCGCACACGAAGGGTTGTGTTTGGCTTGCCTGTTGTGTGCAAGCGCGGAAAGATTGAAGTCCCTTGTCGTGCGTGCCGTGCCGAAAGTTAAAGGTTTCGTTAGCCGGGATGCCCAATCAACCCGTTGCCATCTGGTTTGGCGCAGCAAACGCAAGTACAATGATGACACTACCAGCTTCTGGGTCATCCTTGTGAAACGTAGGCTGGGCAAGACACATATCGCTCCGTCCCGGCCTTGTAGGGATGCGAGGCCAATGGCCTAACGACTACGGTATGCGTTTACATTATTACACCCCCCCGTATCCCCCCAATCCCCCCACTTTACGTAACCCCCTAACAGCCTAGACCCCGTCGTCCGCGGCAATACGTGTACATCCTTGTTCGTTTGAGGAAGTAAAGTGCGTATTTTTCTATTTTTCGGCTTATTTTTCACGTTGCCAACCTGCAGCAGCAGTGTGTACCGGCATCTCCTCGCTGTCGCTGATGTCGACTGTTTCCTTTCCTGTCGGTTTTCTCGTTTTGTTATTGTTGTTGTTGTTGCAGTTCTGTTCGAACCCTTGCCGCAGGTGGTGAAGGCGTGGCTCTTTCTCGAGTGGCCGTTATACCAAGGTGCAGCAACCAGACCCCAGTCGGCCGTTTCTGAAGAAAGTGTCTTCGGGCCTACCTCAGAACTTCCATGAAGATGATGACCGCACCGCTAACGTCCATACCGTAGGTGACACACAAGATACTGCTACGTACACCGCCTGGACGTGTTTTCAAAGCTCCATGTCTCCGCAGCAGAAAGAGGAGCACCGCCGAAAACGGCGGCGTTGAAGCCGCCTGCCTCGTTGAGAGCTTTCTGAACGCCCTCTTCGTCGTGGAGTAGTCGAGCTTTGAAAACCGGTCCAGGGGGGGTGGTATCTTCTGTCATACCACCTACGTTTATCTTGTGCGCAAAGGAGATTGACAGCCGGACGGAAAGAAAGAGAGAGAGACGTGCAGAAAAGTCTTACCCGTGGAATTGTGTGGATGCTTGAAATCTGGTTCAAATGTGGATCAACTCAAGGGTCGTACAATATGCAGTGTTGAAAAATGTTTTTTTTTTCTGTCCCAGTGCGGGGGCGTGAATTTTAACCACACACACGTCCGGTAGCTTCGTGGCTCTACCAAAGATAGTGCCGAGGCGCTCATGATGGTCTGGATTGTGCTGTAGCTATGCTAGGTGACGATTCTTCGCGCCTGTTGCAGTTTTTGTGTCTTTTATGATCCCGTAACAGCGCAATGATCACAACGTCGGATAGCAGCTTTGGTTTTGCTTGAGCAGTACTGTAATTTGATTGTGCTTGTAGGTGTGACGTGTCCCTCGTCATCCTCACCCATTCGCACTCTTCGTGACGTTACTGCCATGGTATGCATATATATGCAAATGCCCATGTAGCACACAGATTCTGTTCCTTGAAAGAGCAATAGTCTAATAGGGTGCAAGTTCGGAGAACGTGTGCTTCTACTAACCCATCCACGTGTCACTCACATGACTCTTGTTACGAGTGATGCACCCCTGCTATCGTTCCCTGTTTTTTCATCTCGACTGAAGGTACCTTGCTTGTCTCCTCCTCCTGTGTTGGTTGCTGCCCGTGCCGGATGTTGCTTCCGCTGCTGCTGCTGCTGCTGCTGCTCTTGCTGTTGTCGCTGGTTGGACGACGATGCGACGGACGGCGGATCGGTTTGATCGCGGACGATGGTGCTATCGCTTGCTCGCGAACACTATTGTATACTATTCCCTCCCGACTTGACCGGTTTCCTTCGCCGATTTTTCTTGGTGGACTGGTCGGGGATTTTGATGGATCTGTCCGCGGGTTTTCCCGGATTGCGTTATCTACATTGTATTCCATACCTTGCCGTATCGCCAACTTTTCCGCCGCTGTTGGCAATTCTTTTGCTTGAACTTTTCTTCGTTTTTGTTGGTTTGTTTCTGCGTTTGTTTGTATTTTTTGCTTGGGGTTGATGTATACTTTTTGGTTGTTGGTTGTTGACAGTGGCGACGAAAGAAGAGTTTGCCCCTGATGACTACCGGGAAGCCCCGCAGTCCTCCTCCGATGAAGCCGATCAAACCAGCTTGTAGAAGGCGCTGGGTTCGAGTCTCCTGAAGGGCGCTACTAGTGTTATTAGGCTTTGTCTCTTGTGAATTTGTGTCGTGTTTTTTTTTCCGTTGTACTACTGCTGTACGTCGGCGACAGCAAGAGGAAGCAGCACCAATTTTTCTAAAATAATAATAGGCTGAAATGGGGTAGGAGTCAGGAATTTGTTGCTTCGCATTTAGGCCTTTTTTTGCATGTTTGCCTATCCATTCAAGACGGACGTCCAGCCATGGGTCATGGATCATCCGACTTGTTGTTCGTTTCGGCATATAGATTGGTTTGATGGTTACTTGCGTGCTTTGTCCTGTTCGTGTTGTTTTTACTGGCGTTAGGGTTAGACTTGGGCTTGTTGAGCGAGTGGTTCGTATCTCGTACAATATCTCGTATGTATGTATCTCGTCGGTGTCCTTCTCCGTGTCTCGCGTTCTCGAAGCGAAGCTCTACGCGCACCTGGCAATTTTTTCTCCGTGATTGGTGCGTTGTATGCATAGCAACGTCGGTCGCGCCAAAACTAACTTTTTTTTCGACAACGATCGGTTAGCTAGTTTGTCGCTATGGGCGGCGTCGCTACTTTGTCTATCCAAACATCCAAACCCCACCGGATTGACCAGCAGCCGTTGACGGGTTACCGCGAACCACACGGTACATCGTTCCGCACATCTGTCTCTGTTCTACGGTATATAGCTCCAAGGAGCAATATTAAACGTTCGTTGCACTGACTGCCCTACGCTTGCTAATAGATTTCGTCGACGTGCATGGGGAACATCGAGACATTGATACACGTGTCGTGTGTGCGTGGCTGCCGGGGAAGGCGTGGAGGAAAAAGAATGAAATGCCCTTTGTCGGTCTGGGGTCGAATTGGTGGTGTTGGAGGGATTGCTTCGTTCCTCTCGTACCTCTTCCGTTCCGTTCGTACTGTGTGCCCGTCGTCAATCAACAACCGAAAGAGAACACTTGAATAATGGGGAGGGAATGATCTCGATCCACAGAAGAAGCCTTTCCCCCCCCCCATGTCTCGCACAGGAGCCGGGCAAAAAAGGCAAAAAAAACACAAAAGACACAACAAGAATGCGGGAAAAAAGAGACTTCTGCGCACAAGAACGCCCCATCCAGAGGTCCGAGTGTCGAAAGAGTCGCACGAGCTCGCGACCCATCATCAAGAGCGCTTGCCACACACCCTTCACCGTTCTTGGTATTTAGCGTGTTTCGGTGAAAAAGGTGGGTGTTTTTGCCCGCGCGTGCTCATCGTGTGATTTTTCAGTTTTTGTCCTGTCCCTTTACGCTCAAGTTGACGTACCATATATTGCTTGCGCCATCCCATACACAACTCACACACCAGAGGCTGTACTCGGAAGGAGGGGGGGAAGGAAGGAAGGATGGTGCACCTACTACCTGTTGCTGCCGTGGCGCATGCCAATGCCAATGCCAATGCCATGCTTGCCACTGACGAAGCGAACGACACTCACTAGGTCATCTTCTAACATTAACGTAACGTATCACGGCGACGACGACGACGAGAGCAGTTAATTTAACACGAAAAAAAACTTGAAACAACACGTCCGTCCGCCGTCCCTTGCCCTCCCCCCTGCTCGCTGCGGACACAATCCAGCCTTACGCGACGGCACACGTCCCGTCTCTCAACGAACACACCAACCATCGGTGCGCGTGTCACTCACCACAGTGTTCAGCAGCGGCAAAGCGGCAAGAAGACCAGAGACGAAATGTAAGGGACCCACAACCCAACAGCTTCGATCGATCCTATCGATTGACAAGACAAGTGAGCCCCACACGGAAAATAACCTGACCCACACTACTGCCTTAGTCCAGTCGTAGTCAACCATCACTCCGTAGTTTACGATGAGATTTTTCCTCGAGGAACAAAGAGCATGCGCGCATGCACAAATATATTTCACCACTACTAGCATACCAACCAATACCACGCAGCAGAGGCACCGTTCGACGCCGCTCCTCGCCCCCCTCCACCTTTCACACACCCACGTCACCCCACCGCCATACAAGAGACCAATCAATATGCAACACTCACTACAAACCACGATATTACTAGCCCTCGCTCGATTGAAACCCGCCACAGGTAATAGAGAGAGAGCTAGCTGCCTTGCCTTCCGCCCCGGGGAGGGGAGGGGAGGGGGGAGTGGGGCAGCTCTCCAGCCAGTTGCAAGGGAAACAAAAATAAGATATAAAACGCAGCAGGACGAGCATTTGCAACAAACAAAAACCAACAGAAAATAAGAACGCCGCCAGACGGGAGGAAAGGGAACAGCTCACACGCAGCAGCAGCGCAGCGGCTTCCTTCGCGCCTGCCTGTTCCCGACACAAGAAACACAAATAATCACCGCACCAGACGGTTAGCCAGCCAGCACTGCCGACGACACTACTACGTTCAATCCAGGGTTGCAAGGACGGGTATTGTAAGAACAAGACAAGAGGGATTCTTCTCCGCTCGAAACAAATACAGCATTTAGTGCACGCTACGCTACAGTATGCTGTTGCAAGTTCATGCCACATACAGTTAGTTAGGCATGAAATAACGGGACGGCAAAAAAGCCCGTGCGGTGTTCCGAGCATGTGCCGTCATCGCACACGAAAGCCAGTCTCACAAATTAGGTGTACGTTCTGGCTGTATATACCCTTGTACTCGCCGCATCCATCCATCCATGCTGTCTCCTTCTCCTTCTCCTTTCCTCCACTTCACTACAGCGATAGCGGCGTGTCGCAAACAACAGCAAAATAAACAGGGACTTTGACAAGACACAGAACAATAACACCAACGGCACGCACACACGCACTTCCCTGCCCCTCCCCCAGCTTCTAAAATGCCGGCGGTGCCGCACTGTGGCATCCGCAGCAGCCATTTCACCCTTACCGATCATGCGGCGAGTCATCTCCCACCTACTTCCAATACCTAGTTTTATACCTGAAAGAACACTCGGTAGTCTTATATCACTTGAATGAAAAACACCCAAGCACGAAAAACGTTGCAAAATGGGGATTGGTAGCCCCCCCCTCCGACCCATCACCGTCCTCGTCAAAAAAACATCTCGCGTCATGCATCATGCAATAGTACATAGCCGCATCGTCATGCCCGCTGGACTCATCGTGCCGTGCCGTGACTTACACCAACACGAGACAAGGACGAAGCACGGTGCCGAATCGAACCCTCCCGCAGAATCAACCCCACAACACAACACAGAGGCAACATGAAGGAAGAAAGAAGAAAAAGACCCGGTCAAATACAATAAATTCAACCGAGCCGTTGTTAAAATCTTCGCGGAAATGCAGCTCATCTCTGCTCACCCCCCTCCATGCCCCCCTGCCGAAAGTACACCCAGTATTACCATCATAGCTCTTCGCCAACTAAAACACAAAGAGCTTTACAGCTCCCCAACGTCTAACGACCTGCTCGTTCGCTTACGCGGACCGCCAACCGCCAACCGCCTCCACTGTAAAAATGATATGGCAACACGTGGTCCGCCGAAACACTAATATTGCATAGCAGAAAGAACTCTCTAAGACAAGAAACTACAGGAGAGAGATGCTGCGACCTCCCCAACCGCCGACATCCCCTTCCCCTCACCATAAATGATCATATCAAGACAAAACCACCACTACCAAAGGAGTTGCCACAGCCGAGAGCTTAACGCGCTTTTCACCATCGCCTGCCCCCCCGCGCGCCCCTTGCCTGTCCCAAACATCAAAGGGACTGACCGTCCTCGGAGGGCACCAACAAAGAAGGTAGCTATAGATAATATTTAGACCAGATGATGAGCCTCCTCCGACCTAGACCCTATCTTGCTCTGACTTCCTTTTTTCGTCTTTTGTCTTTTCTCTACCACTTTACTTCTCGCACGACTATTGTACCACTTGGACAACCGAACGGCGCTGTTACTGCTGTTCGCACCAACCGCAGCAACCAATGTAAGGAAGCAGATGCAGATACAGATACAGATATGGAAATGGGGTATCAAAACACTACCTTTACTAGCACGCACCGGAAACACGTACTGCTGTCGTAGAAGTTGCGGGGAGCAGCTGAATGCACTGCAAGCAACGACGAGAGATATATTTACTACTGTGGAACAACTGACGAAATATGCTACGCTTCATCGTACTCAAGGCGGCGGGCCATGTCTTGTATAAAGCTAGTTCCCCGCCATATTCTCAAACCTCTTTTCCTTGCCTTGGCCATGGGTACGAAAAAAAACAAAACCCGGTAGAGAAGCTTCACCTCTTTATTTATGAGATAAGAACCACCTCCGTTAGCGACTACCGAAACATATATCGATATCATCGTGATATGTTACGCAGGCTAGCACGACCGGCAGCCAACGCTTGCAACCAACCTCGATGCCGCCAAGTTATGCGGTGATCCAAGAGCTGCGCGTGTGCATCATCTATCGCACCAACACATGGCTTTCACCGTCGCAGCACATGTTCCTCTTGCTTTGGTCCACCCGATCGGTTATCACCCGCTCGTTCGATTACCCTCTGCTCATGAGCATGAGAATCTCTTCCCCGAGGTCTACGGTCGGGTAGCGCTTGATGATCTTGGCAGCGATGCGCCGTCCGCTCGAGGTGCTCTTGAACAAGTCGACGTCAGTCGTTTTTTCAACGCAAACGGGGAACCGAAACGAGCGGAGATGAGAGAAGATTCCTCACAACGGCAGCAGGAACAGCAAGCAACAACGAGGTGCTCTTTGAAGAGGTCCAACTTGTCAATGTTTTCAGCCAAGCAGGAAGCCACAAACAACGACATAGGAACGAGAATAAATGAGTGGCGATTGGTTCTTCACCACGCCAGCAGCAGCAGCAGCAGCAGCAACAGCAACAGCAACAAAGTCAGCGAATCACCTGCATGGAATGAAGGTGAGGCCTGATCGCGTTCACGAGCTTTAGACCCTCCTCATTGTTGGCCACTGTCAGAGCACGCTGCACCACATAGTTGGCGTACTGGTCCAGTATGAGCTCTCTTATCCTACCCTGCTGCGCCAGCTCTTCCACGAACTTGGACTGCGGGGCGGAAATCACAGGGTGACGACATCATGCCCGCAAAGGGTGTGCGAGTATGAGACAAACCATTGCTTGCGTTTGGTCTTGCGGCCAATCACGGTTTGGTTAATTTTTCTCACCACGCTACATAGGCCTTCTCTCTCTGAACGCCGTTTCGGGGCTCATAAGAATGATTTCTCTACGGTTGCATACTACTTCTACATGTTTCCAAAGTTTAGCGAGAGGTTAGGGTAGGATTCTGCTGTATCCTTCCCTCTGAACCAGATGCACTGCAGATTGCTACATAGGTGGAACAAACCGAGTACAGGGTGGCGATGCACGCACGAGGGCGAGCACAGCAATTCCGCTTCCGATTATTGTAGCACTCCAGAATTCATCTCTCCCTCGAATACCTGTAACACAACCAACCCCGTCAACGCATGCATACCCATGTCCTTCCACGCAGGCAGGGCAAGGCAAGGCAAGGCAACCACATCTACATATGAAGACGAAGACGAACACCACTGATCCAGGAACAGGGGGAGAACACTACAGGAGCCCACAACAATAATAGAACAATCAGATGACCGAACCCATGGGGTCATACCTGAACCTCCGGGAGGGCCCGCTCCAAACACGCCTCCATCACGTTGCTGGAAAACTTCTGAGTGGAGAGCGACGCCACGTGCCCCAGCGGTGCAGAGCAGAGCATGTACGTCTCCTCCCTACGCAGACAAGACAGAAGACAGACAGAGACGCGCGCCGACCCACAACAATTTGTCATCAACCCCCACAGCAGCAGCAGCAGCAGCTACAACGGATAGCATCGCCGCCAAACCCGGCGGTCTCCACATCGTCCAAGGCAAGCACCAGCGAAGCCACTTTCGTCAAAATGAACAGCAACAAGCCTGCACAACCCTACCACGTGACGCTTCGACTCGACTCCCCCTTTTTGTCCCTCCGTCGTACTCCTAGGCTCGCAATTACAGCAACAACAGCAGCCACTATAATACGACAACGATCATGCACCTTGAGCAGGTCTTCAAGACGTACTGCACCACGTAGTTGCCAAACGGGTCTTGCATCAGGCGGAGGCCGTTCCGTGCCACCTTCAACACCATGGTGCCAGACAAAAAACAGACAAACAAACACAAGAGACGGGGCACACACATACATTGAATAAGATCAGCCCATATCATGTACAGGGTGCAACCGCTTGTCCCTAGCTTCACAAACAGGTAGCAATGTCGTCACGCGGTAAAAAAAGCACGCCCCATGACAGTCTCGTGAGACTTGCCAGGGGCATCGCATCCCCAAAAACCAACCCTTAGCTTTCAATTCGCATTCTTCTGGGAAGCTGCTGCCTCTTGTGGAATTAACATGTCGATCAGAACTGCAGGAGCACCAGCATGCGTGCATCAAAATTAAACAGCACGCGTGGATCAAAAGGAGTGTAGTATTTACCTCCTCGATAAGCTTGATCCGTAGGTTAGGACCGGCGGCATCGAGGCACCTTTGGAGGACGCAGCACCCGTGACGGTGAATTGCCACCTGCGCCATCACAAACGAAACGGAGGGAAACAAGAAGGGACGCGGTCAAGCAACGCAAGCAACGAACACCAACATCAACATGACAAATATCTCAAAAACAAAACCAATCAAACGAAACGCCAAATGAACAATCCTCGCGCGATTCCAACACAGCAAAAAAGCACACACGTGCAGACACAACAGCGGTTCGACCTGCTGCAGCCGCAAGCAAAACTAAAGAGGCACTGACTGCATGCATTCATTCACGTAAAAAAGCGGGGAACTAGTGTCTACTAGTGTTTACTGTCCTGGTGAAAACGAAGGTGACAGTCGGCCTAAGTGATTTAAGTGATTTAAGTGATTTAAGTGGTTATTCTTATTCTTATTCTTGCTGAGACTCAACCTCAACAACACCGCTCATCTGCTGTACCAATACACAAGACCGATCACATTCACACAAGCAAAGTCGAATCCACAGGGGACTGCTGTACCGTACGGTTTCAGGACTACCACGTAAGCGTCGTGCTGTATCACCTGCACGAGGCTAGCCGTAATTGCTTCAAGGACGAAGTCGTTGCGGGGTGCGGGCATGTGCTGCAAAGCGCGCTGAACCACGTGGTTGCCGTTCGGGTCGAGAGACAGCTTCACCACGCTGGGGCCGAGGGAGCGCGCGATCACCGCCGCCTGGGCATCCGTGCGGCACAGCTGAAACAAAACAAACACGCAACAACAAAACATCGGGCAAGGAGAAAAGGCTTGGTGACCACGCCCGAACAGCGGCGTAGAAGTATTCAAGGTTCAGGAATACCTTTCGTTAAAACAAAAAGGTTCAAAACAACTATTCCAAGCACAAAACAACCCTGAACAACTGTAATCCTTTTCGACATTCTTAAGAGGTTCAATTTCAATTGTCAACCAGCAGTGTAGTTTGTTCGTGTGACGACACAACTATTTAGTCTCACCTCTACCACCTTCTGCACACACCGAGTACCGTGCAGGTTAACAGCAGCCTCGGGCATGCGGTCGGTCACCGCTTCCACCTGAGGCAGCAGCAGAGCAACACAAGGTCCGTGACATCAAGCACCATCAGTGACGACAGCAGAGCAGCAGCAACCGCAGTGGGAGAAACTACCTCCATCACAACGGCTCGTAAGTAGCACACACCTTAACCAAGAGAGCAACTAGAGAGCGTTCAAGCCAACCATGTATCCTGTTCTTCCAAGAGGTGGAGCCACTTATATATAAAAGATAAAAACGCTCACAAGGTACCCTAGCATCGACGGTCCAACGTCTCTCTCTTTCTCTCACCGCTAGTAGCCGTTGGTGGTCGTCCACCTTCACGAACAGCTTCTGGAACAGGTAGTTGCCGAATGGGTCGATCATCATCATGGACAGGTTGGGGAGGGCCTCCATGAAAATCGCCGACACGGCATCATCCTCGCTAGGCTCTTTTCCGGCATCGCCCTCAGGGGGGCGGTCCGGACACTCGTCCAGCTTCTGCTGAAGCAGGCGGCAGCCCACCTGTATCATCATCGCATCATTCAGCGACAGAGACAAGAAGGAGGGTGTAAGAACCAGCGGCACAGAGTGTCCGACGACAACAGCGACGGAAAGGATGTCTTTTCAAACTAATTAACAATCGGAATATAAAAGAGCGGCAGCGAACAAAGAACAAGCGGAATCCAATACGAGGTATGTACGTAAACGCGGAATCAACACGCCTCGTCCAGAACCAAACTCCCGATCCCAGCCATTTTGTACTGTGGTCTTCGAGGTCACCAACCAGACTACTGACTGGCTACCCGCACTCCAAAATCACTACCGTAGATACAAATCTTGGGGGGGGGAACCGCACCTGGTCCCTGGACATGCTGTACACTTTCCCGAGCACGTCCTTGAGCGCGGGTCTCGTAGCCTCCAGCAGAGCGGCCATGTCAGACTCGCGGTCCAGCCTGCAATCAAGCATCACACCAGACCACATTTACAAAGGACAAACACGTCAGAGTCAACATCAGGGAACACGAGCAAGTGGGAAAACGTCAAGCCAACTCAATGGGCATTGAATTAACTCTTGGGACGTGAGTGTCAGCGGCAGTATCAAAACCGTAACAAGTCGTCCATATCCCGCTCCGTTTCTCATGGGGCCAAACGACCTGATTGACAAAGGCGACCGTCGGAGCACCAACTGCTGGGCCAGGTGAATCTCATCTCAAGGTCGTTTTCGAGGCCACCAAACCACTCAAGCGCAGATATATCTTGCTACATAGCGGTTTCAGACAAAAAACAATAAAGCCTCCTCCGATATACGGACGCCTTTCACATTCCACGCAAGTTGTTACATGCGAGAGGTCCGTCGGAACGGCTTCAGCATGCACGCAAGGTTGGTTCATCGCGGCGCCTTCTTTCGCGAAAAAAAACAAAACAAAACACGAGAGACAAGAGAGCAGCAGTGGTCGTGACCTCAGATCATAGATCTCACCTCTTTCGACGGTCCTTGATGTCCCTTCCAGCCTCCCCTTCTCGCGCAGTCCTCGCACCCCGGATGAAGTCTTGCCCGGGGCCCCCGGGTCCTCCACCCCCCCCTCGGTACCCACTGCCGTCGGCGTAACCCCCGCCTCCAGCGTCGAGGTATCCCATGTGCGGCGCGCCTCCAACGTCGTGCACACCTCCTCCAACCGACCACGCGGGCGCATGCATGGGCTGCTGCTGCTGCTGCTGCTGCTGCAAGCCGCCGGGGTGATGCACGTGCGGCGGAGGGTGGGTCGGGGATCCCGAGAATCGGGGGTGCTGCTGCATGGGTGCCGCAAGCGGGGGGGAAAGGCGGCCCTTTTCTACGCCCCCGCCGGCACCCGCGTCCATGACCGCGGACACCCCGGGCATCGCACCCATGCCAGCGGCCCGCCCATCGTCGTACATGGCGCCGACCCCGGGGTACAGGGCCGGGTTCGTGAACCCGCCCGCGCCGTTGGGGACCACCGGAACCATGGGCACGATGCCTTGCGGGGTAATCGCGTAGTGCACCTGGTATGGATCCGAATCGAAGGAGAGGCCGGTAGGGACAACAACAGCAACAAAGACATCAAAGCTGTAAGAAGGAGTGACAAGACGGGGCAGGATCAGACCCAAGGTACCGTAGGCACGCAGGCAGAGAGAGGCGGGTTCGCACTGCGAAGAGGGGCTTTCTTTGTGCCTGCTCGTTCGGCAATGATCCAGCCACAAACACCAAACACCCGCGCCTGGCGAAATAACACAGAAAGCGTGCGGATGGTCGGCAACATGTACATGTACGTACGTGTACACTCAAAAGAGGGACGCGGTTACCACAACATATTTGCTCCCCGTGCTTCCGCTCCTGGCCTATTAGCTCAGTGGGTAGCGCTAGATCGTGTGTACACAGAGGGAAGAGAGTGCTGCACTCTTCTCGCATTAAAAATCGAAGGCAAAGTACCGCAGGAGGGGAGGGTAGAGAGGGGCTCTTCTGTGTGATCACGGGATGGAGTAAACGGCACTAGTGCTGTGAGCGCTGATTTTGAAATGAAGCAAAAAGAAAAAATCCGGCCGAAACACGAGTCGTCAGCTATGCGTACCAATCAAGCAAGCAAGCAACCAACCAACCTGGAAGCTCTGAGGGTGAGGAGCGCCGGCCTGTGGCGAGGCGACCGAGGGACTGAGGGGGCTAACACGCCCATTTCCGCCGTTGCCCCCTCCCCCCCCGCCGCCGCCGCCGCCGCCGCTAGCGACGCCGTTCGCGCGGGCGTTGGCCTGGCCACCGTCGATCCCGGCTCCCGCCATCTGATACACCGGGACACCGCCTCCCGCCTGCAGGTGGGCCATCTGGGGGACGTAGCCATAGCCGGCCTGCGACATCGGGAGGAACATCGGGGAGGCCGCCGCCGCCTGGTCCGCGCCAGGTTGCCCGTGGTGCTGCTGCTGTTGCTGCTGTTGCTGCCCCTGCGGCGCGCCTCCGTTTCCTCCCTGCTGCTGATACAACACCATGGGCTGCATGCCTCCGGCGCCGCCCGATCCACCACCACCACCACCGCCACCGCCACCGCCGCCGGATCCACCACCCGAGCTGACCCCGTTGCTCCCCCCGCCGTCACCGGCGGCGACTACATAGGTGCCCTGTGACGGCATGTAGGGCTGCTGCGGCGCAGCCATGGGCGGGAGGGGCGGCGACCCCATGTGATTCATGTGGGGGGCCAGGAGCTGCTGCTGGTCGCCCACCCCACTCATGGGGCCGTTGTCGAGCCCGCCACCCTGCAGGTTGTGTGCGTGCGCGTGAGGAGGCGGTGCGTGGCTCACGACGCCCTGTCCATACGCGTCGCCGCCGTTGACGGCGTATGTGGGCTGGATCGGCACACCGCCGTCGGAGTGGACAGCATACATGGGCATGCCGGGCGGGGGGCCCGGGGAGTGGTGTTGTTGCTGCTGCTGCTGCTGTTGTTGTTGCTGCTGCTGTTGCTGCTGTTGCTGTCCCCCCCCGCCGCTCCCAGGCATGTTCGTCAAGGGGTCGCGGTAGCCGAAGGTAGGGTACCCGTCGTCAATCGCGGCTCCTGCTCCTGCTCCTAATCATGGCAAGCGGTGCATTAGAGAGAGAATAAGAGACACAGAGAGAGAGAGGTGAGGCCAACATAAAATGAACTATATATAAGGAGATGTCATCGCACAAAAACCAAAACCTACAGCAGAAGCCGTTGAAAACAGACTCAAGGTTCTCTTGAATTTCCCAGACCAATATTATTCGACCAGAGCATGCGGCTGGTCGGCGGGGAGAGAAACACATCGCATCGTGGATATTGCTTCGTCAGGGGACACGCTCCACATGAAGTTCCCTCAATCGACATGTATGTACAGCACAGCAGCCAACCCTTGCGGGGGGCGGGTTGTTTCTCACCGCTTCCTATCCAGGCTTGTCCACCACCGCCTCCGCCGCCTCCCGACCTGCCACCGCCGCCGCTGCCGCCACCGTGGCCGCGGTAACTCCCGCCTCCGCCTCCGCCGCTCTGCCTTCGATCACGATCACGATCGCGCTCGCGCTCGCCAACTCCCCGCCCGGCCCCGGCCCCCGCCCCGGCCCCGCCGGCGGCGGCACCGGCGCTGGCACTCCTCCCGACCCCGCCGTTCGACATGTGATGACCGGACGTCGGCTGCGGCGCAACCCTCCCCGACGTGACCATGACGCCGCGGCTCTCCGCGCCGCCCCCGCCGCCGCTGGGCCCGAAACCCCCCCCCCTGC